AAATACAGAAAAGCACGCCTGCACAGTATATAGCTTTTTGTGTCCTTGCTTTTGCACCTGCATATAAGCAAATTAGCCTTGAACACCCTGACTAGGATTCCCATGCTCATAGTGGCCTTGAACATCTGGCGCACTCTAGACAGGGCCCCCACATACCACCACCATATTTCTAGAACCCTTCAATGCAATTTATTTTTATATTGTTATTTTTTATACAGCTACCTTTCGAAACTCTCTTAATAATTGCAGTAATTTACTTATAAATTGTTTTGCATTTTCTACATATCCAATTATATAAATTGTGAATAATGACAATTTTGTTTCTTCCTTTTACAATTTGCAACGGCATGGATGGAGCTGGAGAGCATTATGCTAAGTGAAATAAGCCAGTCAATGAAGGAAAAATACCACATGATCTCACTCATTCATGGATAATAGAGACCATTATAATCTTTTGAACAATAATAGATACAGAGGCAGAGCTGCCTCACACAGATTGTCAAACTGCAGCGGGAAGGCTGGGGAGGGTTGGGGGGCAGGAGGGAGGGGGGTAAGAGATCAACCGAAGGACTTGTATGCATGCATATGAGCATAACCAATGGACATAAGACACTGGGGGGTAGGGGAAGCCGGGGTATTGTCAAGGGCGGGGGAAAAAAGGACACATATGTAATACCCTTTGTAATGCTTTAAACAATAAAAAAAAAAAAAACACCTCCAGTACTATTATAAATAACAGTGGTGTTCCTGATCTAAAAGGGAAAATTACCATAAATTATCAGTAAGTATGATATTTGTTTCAGGTTATTTTTAAAAATCTGTAAATATAGATAACTATATTAATTTCCTAGGGCTGCTGTAACAAAGGGCCACAAACTGAATGGCTTGTAACAACAGAAATGTATTCTTCTTGCCTGGCTGGTGTGGCTCAGTGGTTGAGCATTGGCCAACGAACCAGGAGGTCACGGTTCGATTCCCAGTCAGGGCATGACTGGGTTGTGGGCTCGATCCCCAGTAGGGAGCATACAGGAGGCAGCTGATTGATGTTTCTATCTCTCTATCCCTCTCCCTTCCTCTCTCTAAAATCAATAAAATTATATTAACTTTAAAAAAGAAGAAAAAAGAAATGTATTCTTCTGGAGGTTAGAAGTCCAAAATCAATAAATCAATGTGTCAGCAAGATCATGACCTCTCTGATGTCTCTAGTGGATTCTTCCTTGTCTCTTTCTAGCTTCTGATATTTGCCAGCAATCCTTAACTTTCCTTGGTTTGTAAATACATCACTCCAATCTCAATCTCTTTCATTACATGGTATTCTCCTTTTGTGTCTAATGTCTTCACATAACATTCTCATCTCTGTGTTTTTGTTCAGATTCCCTTCTTCTTGTAAGGACCTCAGTCATTTAATTAAGACTCACCCTATCTAGTATGACCTCATCTTAACTTGATTACACCAGAAAGACTGTATCTACATTGGGTGACATTCTGAGGTTCCATTGTGGGCATGAATTTTGGGCAGAAACTATTCAACCCAGTAAAGATACTGTACACTAAGCATGTCAAACTCAAAGGCTAACACGGGCCAAATAAACAACATTTAAGTTTATGTGAGCCACAAAAAAACAAAAGCTTCAATTTTCATAGAAACATAGGTTTATTTCTATTATAGAGAAATGCTGAGTCCAAAGGGCTGAAATAAATGAGTAATTGTTAACATAGAATAATAGAACATTTTAATAAAAATTAATATTTTTTCTCAAACATTAACTTACCAGACACTGAATAACTGCACAAATTAATACACATAACGCAAATAAACCTATTTTTCTTGTTCTCCGAAAGCAAAATATTTCCTGTTGTGCACACCAAACAAGTCAGTACAAGACTAATGACGTGACAATCGGCTGCTAAAATATTCGCTGCTGGTATTAGTGGAAAGAAATGGTGTGCCTGTGTGTAAGGCATGTAAGGGAAATGAATGCAACACAATTATAGTAATCAGTCATTAGTGAACGTTGTAGTTCATTATTAATAATTATGTATAATAAGATATTGTAAAAATTAAGTTACGAAATTTTTATTAAAACATTTCTTACATACCGTTATGTTGGCTGGGCCACAAAAATATTCATTGTGGGCCGCATGCAGCCTGCAGGCCACAAGTTTGACATGCATGCTGTACATCAAATTAAAGAAGTCCCCTTCTATGGATCATTTGCCTAAGAGATTTCTATTTTGTTTTGTTAAAACAACCATATGACACCAGGGACATAAAGGGAGGAATTGAATTGACCCCCTCCACCACACACACATCCCTCTCTAGACATTCATCACACTATTTTCTGTGTCCATGGGTTATGCATATATGCATTTAAGTTCTTTACTTAATCTCTGCCCACCCACCCTCACCTTCCCTTCCTTCTGAGATCCATCAGTCTGTGGCATGCTTCCATGCCTCTGGACCTATTTTGTTCGTCAATTTATTTTGTTCATTAGATTTCACATATAAGTGAGATCATGTGGTACTTGTCTTTCTCTGGCTGGCTTATTTCCTTAGCATAATACTCTCTAGGACCCTCCATGTTATCTCAAAGGGTAATAGATCCTTCTTTTGTAGAGCTGCATAGTATTCCATGATATAAATGTACCACATCTTTTTTATTCACTCATCTACTGATGGGCATTTGGTCTGTTTCCAGATCTTAGCTATTATAAATAACACTGCTATGAACATAGGGGTGAATATATTCTTTCTGATTTGTGTTTCAGGCTTCTTGGGATATATTCCTGGAAGTGGGATTACTGTGTTAAACAGCAGTTTGATATTTAATTTTTTGAGGAAACTCCATACTGTTTTCCATAGTGGCTGCACCCCACCAGCAGTGTACTAGGATTCCCTTTTCTCCACATCCTCGCCAATACTTGTCACTTGTTGATTTATTGATGGTAGCCAATCTGGCAGGTCTGAGGTGATTCTTAATTGTCATTTTATTTTGCATCTCTGTGATAATTAGTGACTTTGAGCACTTTTTCATATGTCTCTTGGCCTTCTGTATGTCCTCTTTGGAGAAGCATCTTTTTAGGTCCTTTGCCTATTTTTTGATTGTTTGTCTTCCTTTGGTTGAATTGTATGAGTTCTTTATATATTTTGGAAATTAACCTTCTGATGTGTCATTGGCAAATATGTTCTCCCATAGAGTGGCTCCCTTTTCATTTTGTTGATGGTTTCTTTTGCTGTGCAGAAGTTTTTATTTTGATGTAGTCCCATCTATATATATAAAAAGCCAGTGTCCATGACGACCAGGATGACCAAATGACCGGTCACCATTAGGTGCATTGAGCACCTCTCAGTCCCTCCCCCGCAGCCCACAGGCTCCGATCACAGCAAGGCAGGCAGTGGGTGGGCAGGCAGTGAGTACGGCGAGCA